GTTCCTATTACCTCTTAACCCCCCTGTCTCATGGCGCTCCATCGGAGTAGATGACTGTGGTTTTTGTGACTCTAGCGCTGCTCCATGCTCCTGAAATTCCTCGTCCCAATCATCTGCAGGGCCAGGCTCATCTTCCTCTGACTCAACCTGCCTCCCCCGCTCATCCTGTCCACGCCGGGTGATTGATTGCCGCTCTGCCTGGGCTATGACTTCTAACAAAGTCTCTTCTCCTGCAACTCTTCTTCCCCCTACATTAAATGAGGTCATAGGTCTGTGCTCGGGTTGCCGCTTCTTTACGACTGTCGAGTGACCCTGTGTTGTGTTAGGATTACTCCAATCGACAGGCTCCGGCTGGGGCCTGTCCTCCAAATATTGTACCGTCTCTGAGAGAAAAGCAGAAACCTTCTCCACCCCATCATTCTCTTCATGTGGATATGGGGTTACCTGTAACAACCCTTTTTGAACTACCAAAACCTGAGATTCTCCTGGATTAGTAGCTTTCCCTTGCCTCAGTGGCATCTGATGTGGTTCATTTAACAACCGATTAGCCTCCGCATATGGGCCTGTTGAGTAGGGAGGAGGCGCACTAGATTTACAACCGGTCTCATGCACTTTCTCTTCTCCTGCTTTGGTTTGCGGCAACTGCATTGCCGTCTTACTCACGAATACCGCATTTATTTCTCCCAGAAATGTTCTACAGTCCACAAAGAACTCATCTGCCTTTTCTGCACTTTTCTTCTCTTTTCCACAAAATCTCCCCTTAACGGCAAGGAGCGCATGCCCTTGGTCTTTTCCTCTTCTCGCCATCCTAAGATGGTCCTGCAGCTGCTTGCCTGTTGGTTGAGAATCTGTCTCCCTTCCAAACATTCCTCTTTCCTGCATCTGTGCAACCCACTTCACATATTTTTTTGTTACACATTTCCTATCTTTTTCTAGGGTTTTATCCATATGTCTAAGTCTTAAACAGGGCGAAACCCAGAGTGCCTTCTTTACACCTCTCCCATATCGTTATGGTTTCCTCCATTTTCATCACAGGTTATTTATTTATTCACACGTGGTTTTTGAACACAAGAGAAAGGACTCAATGCCCAATACTGTGAACCCAATCAAGAACCTTCTACTGTATTAGAGGAATACAGCGCTCGACTGTTGAGGCTTATAACACCAGTTCACTCGTATTGTTTTATTTCTCTCGTATTTATACCACCATCATTTAACTATGATTTTCCCTTTTACCCTTTAATACATATCCCCACAGATGTGTAATCCGGTCAAACACTTTTCACTGTCGGATTCTCAGTCCTTTTTCAAGTCCTGATACGCCCAGCTTCCAGGTTCGGTAAAACACCAGGAGTTACACCAACCACCCACACATTTCCCAGTATGAAAAACAACAAATCTTTCCCTGTGTCCTTATTTCTTCATCTAATATTCTAACCTGCCAGTCCAAGAATCACACGAGTAGGACTACAGGACCAGAGGTATCTACGTACCACACGGATTGCAACTTGGATTTCTACAGACTAAGATTAAGATAAATCCCTGCTCTATTCTAAACTGCCAGTCCACGACATGCAAACGTGGGACCCCAGTCACCAGAGGTATCTACGTACCACACGGATTGTAACTTGGATTTCTACAGACTAAGAGTCGACCTCAGGGAACTCAAGTGAGCCCCGTCGTTCCTTTTTAAACTCTTCATATATTTACCTAAGTCCCTAAACCTAAACCCCTACACTGTTCTAAACTGCCAGTCCACTGCATGCAAACGTGGGACTGCAGTTACCAGAGGTATCTACGTACCACACGGATTGCAACTTGGATTTCTACAGACTAAGAGTATATATATTTTTACCTAAATCACTAAACCTATGGACACTTATTCACTTTCCCTAACGTTGAATTCAGTGTGAGTATGTGCTTATACTTTACATGTGATCAACAGGAAATTTTCAAATTTAGTTTTAAATTTAGTGGTCTTATAACGACCTTATTCAGTCAATGGACAGAGACTAATTCTGCAGTTGACAACAAATCTTTTAGAAGTATCCAATCACAGACATTTTATTCATTTAGAACAAAAGGTTGTCTGCTCACCTGATTCTGTTTTGGGCGCCTGTTGTCAATGCTGAACCACGCCACGATCCTTTCGGCTCGGTCCGGAAAACGGACGTCCCCGTCTTTCTTTGTCCAGGTCAGCAAATCACGTCGGGGTCACCAAATTGTAAGAATACGTGTTCAAGATTTGGAGCCTGGTCGGGGTTATCAAAAATTCAGCCGAATGACTTCTCTCGTTCTGGGAAATTTATTCGTCAGATCACAGGTCAAGTATCAGCACTGCGTTTGCAAAGGCAGGAGCAGTTCAGGCAGCACACAGGCCGGAAGAACAACTAACTACCATCAGCAAGAACATCATGTTTTATAACCCTTGAAAGACAGAGAAGGAAAGATTTCTATTGGCCCTAAACTGGCGTAGAGGAGGACCTTCCACCTCCCGCATCTAAGATCCGGTCACATCCAATGTCCAGACTCCTGACTTAACGTAAACATCGTAAACAGAGTGTGTATGTTGAATAGTGTTGGTGTGTCTCTAACCCCCCTTTGGCTGGTAAATCTGCTAGTTGACCCGCAGACCTTACATTCCTCAGCCAGGACATAAACTGACTCCCTATCCTGTCAGACTCGTGTCTGCCTGCTTGGCAGATCCTGCTTACCCCCTTACCTAACTCTTAAATCAAGACAAGACAGCGAACCCTCAACTAAACCCATGAAAAGAACTTTTGATTATCAATGCAAACAGCAGTTCTGAGCCATATTCTTCATTCACTTCCTGGTTCCTGTCACCTGACAAATTAGATAACATTTCATGTTTTAAAAATAAAACATAGCATTGATTTAACGTTTGTGACAAAACAATCATAGTAATCCATGGAGAGGGATCAACATTCTCAACATTGTTTGGTCTTCTGCTTCGCATGATATCTATGCATCTGCTTAATACATTTCAAACTCACTTTCCTTTCTTCCCACAGACATGTCCACTAGATCTTTACACTGACCGTTTCTATGAGAACAGAAAAGAAGCGATTGACGCATGTGCGACCAGGTACAGTCCGCCGCGTGCTTTAGGTTAGTCCGCAGTCTGGTATTTCCATTGGTTTGTGATGGAGCTGAGCAGACAGTGCAGTTTGCGACATGGTACAGTCCGAATATACATAACTTCAAGCCTCAATATAATTTAAATGAATTATTAAAAAGTCACAAAATACACAGTTAAAAAACCTGTTTTTAGTAGCAGAATGTATGCATTTGTATTTCTGTGTAGATTGTGACAATTTAACATGGGGGTCCAATGGAAATTTAATCGCATTTAAAGCTAAATCGCATTTAGTTATTGGAACTCGATTGACAGTCATCTCACAGTATTGAGATCATTAAACTTGTTATACAATTTGTTAAACTGAGTTGGAGGACTGAAAACCATTAAGTTGTAATTGTATAAGTCAGCGGCTCCCAAACTCAAGAATGCCGCGGCCCAATTTGAAATCTGAAAATCTTTCGCGGCCCACCCAAACCTTTAATCACAACTCTGATCAAAACATAAACTAGGGATTAATCATCCCTAGTTGACCTTAAGAATTTAACCGATTAAAAATGTATTAACCGACAATGTATGTTTTGAATACCATTTTTGTTTCTTGTTTCTCCGACGCGCCCTGAAACAAGCTCCATATCTCACGCGCTTGAGCACCGCTCAGCATCTCGCCGTCGTAGACCGAGCTTTGGCATGTTTGGCCGAGCGCCGTGTACAACCAGTATGGATCAACCGATTAACCAAGTGATCCATATATATAAGCCGCTCCGGATTATAAGGCACTGTTGTTTTTTGAGAAAATTAAAGCCTTTTAAGGGCCCCTTGGAGTGCGGAAAATGCTGTATACTTACTTTAATACTACAAGAGGGCGCCCCGTTTGTTGAACAACGACAGGCGGACAAGAGCAGCCGTTTCGAGCGAGAGCCTTATTGTTTTATTAATTTGTCCGTTTAAATTGTTTGTGCTTCGTCAATTAATGTTTCACATAACTAATGTGCCGCATCATAAATATTTCTATATTAATTTCAAACTTTTCAAAATTGAAAATTAAAAACATTTTATTTATTTATTGCAAATGACCTCTCGCGGCCCACCTGCAGGACCTTTGGGCCCACACTTTGGGAATCGCTGGTATAACTCATCATTATAAGTTGAACCCAAAACGGTAAAACGGAAGTGGACAGTTGTTTTCTCGTTTTTCGTTTAGAACCAAAAAACGAGACAAACTCACAACTTTTTACGCCGTTAATCCCTTTTGCGGTTTTGCCCATAAAACGGTTAGGTTAGTTAAAAGACAGTTATTGGAACTTCATTTTGACTGTTTGACTCACAGTAGCCTATTGAGTTCATTAAACTTGTTGAAACTTACAATTTGTTGAACAGGTTTAAAAACCTGAGTTGGAGGACTGAAAACAATAATGTTGTAATTGTATAACTCATCATGATAAGTTGAAGTAAATAACAAAACGAAGTTACTATGAATTATTGTTCAAATCATTTTTACAGTGATGTAGTCACTACTGTTGCTAACGCATCCCGTTGGACCAGGATTATTTCTTGTTGTGATACCCTGGTAACCGCTGGCACCGCAGACGGATTTCTAGCATGCAAACGTTCCATTGCGTTGACTCTTACTATGAAAATCTACGTACTTCCGGTTTAGCGGCTCCGCTTCGTATTTTAGTTTTATGGCCAAAACCCTAAAAGGCATTAACGGAGTAAAAAGTTGTGAGTTTGTCTCGTTTTTTGGTTCTAAACGAAAAACGAGAAAACGACTGTGCACTTCCGTTTTACCGTTTTGGATTCAAAACGAAAACGAGTGTTTTCGTTTTCTCGTTCTTACGGTAAAAGGAACTATCAAAACGTACACGGACCGACAATAAAGTGAAAACGGTATCAATGTGCTATGGATTTGTCAGACATGCTTCTTTTGAAAGTTTTCCTTTTCGTGTGTTTACTGGACGACGCCCAAGGTGAGTGAGCGGTTTTACAGCGAAACCGTTACGTTAAGTTGTGTGGATCCATGAAGCTAAGAGGAGCAGAACGGCTGTTAGCCGGTTAGCTAACGGAAGGATCAGCGGGGCCTGCTTGTTGTGAAGTGGACTGCACCCAATTGCCGTATTACTTCGAGCAAAAAAAAAGACATATTGAGTAAAAGGTGACTTGGATCCGTGCGGTTGATGGAAATAAACCGACATAGACGAGTTATGTCAGCGTTTTGTCACCGTTTTAATCGTCAGGTTTGGCTCTGTTTTGTTGTTATCGTGCGAATAGCGCCGACAGCCATTGTTGTGAGAAGATGGAGAGACGCCGTCATAACAATGAAACCCGTAACCTCAGTTGTGTCACCTGTCCCGTGTCAGGGCTTACAAGCGATGTGGCGGACAAGGATCCATGTTTGCGGCCGCCGATTGGGCTCCTGCGCTGAGACTGTTCGGTACCTTGTGCCACGGAGTTCGGTAAAGTTAGGAAGATATTCACAGATTCAGACTTCACGGTTCAATAGCTCATCAGCGAAACGTTGTTAAAACACAAAGGACACCTTTCTGTAACCTAGTGTTGTTGACAACAACACTAGGTTGGACCTATTGTATTTCAAGGAATTATTCTTTTCTCTAAGGAATTTTCCCTTTTGAGGCCCTTATCATATTCAAAAAGTTGTTAAATTTGGCACACGAGTTGAAAACAAACTCCATTGGAAAACCATGTTAAAATATTATTGATTATTGATTTATATAAATTCAAGCTTAAGAGCTAGAAAGCTGAAACCCCTCCCATGAAAGAGCTGAATATTTTAATATTTTAATGGTTTTAATAGCTGAAAGTGTGAAGGAGTTGAAATGTGTGGTGGAAGAAATAGAATAACTAAATGCATTGGAATGCAAAAAGCTGAAATGAACTTGAAGGGAATTTTATTACATTTGCTTAAATTACAGATATTAGAAAAGCTGAAATTACATTTGAAATTGCCAAAAATACAGAAATGGGAGAAGCTGAAAAGAAATTCAATACATTTCCTGAAAAAGCAGAAATGAAAACAGCTGAAATGAATGTGAAATATGGAAAAAAAAATACAGAAATGAATATTTCTGTATTTAATACAGACATAAGAAAAGCTGAAATTATTTTAAAGAACTGCTGAAAATACAGGAAGTGGGGAAGCTGAATTTCAATTTCAAAAAGATTTCAAAAGATTTTCTAAAAAATACAGAAGTTGCAGGAGCTTAAATGAATTATAGTAGTAGAGGTAGTGGTAGTTAATAATAGTTGTAATTGTGGTATTCGTGGTACTAGCAGTAGAATTAGTAATAGTAGGTGTAGTATCAATAGCAGTAGAAAAAGCTGTAATACTATTGGCCATAGTAGTATTTGCAATAACATTAGTAGTAGTTGTAGTATTAATAGCAGTAGAAATACTAGTAGTATGGTGGTAGAAGTATCAGTTGTAGTACTACTAGAAGTACTAGTAATATTATTCTTAATATTCTTAGTGGTTGTAGTAGTATTTGAAAGAGCAATACGTATTTCAACGAAACCGCTTCATTCTGAGCTTCATGGTTGAGGTACAGATAACCATTGAGGCTTTTATTTTGAAATGATGGAATTGGGTGAGGAGGGGTTGGGAGACAGAATGTCTGTTATTCAAACTCAATTTGAGTTATTAATTCGAGTTATTATTTAGGAAAGGCCTCATCACAAACATTACAGTAAGAATTCCCTCCATGGGGCTTTTATTTTGAAATTATTGGATTGGGTGGGGGGGGGGTAGATAAAGGGAGGGAGGGGGAGAGGGTGAGGAAGAGATAGAAAGGGGGAGAAGTAGGCAGACTGACTAATTGAGTGATTGAGAGTGAGTAGAGGTCAGGGGGGAGGGGAGGCTAGTGTCTTTATCATGTTGGTCTGTTGACAGAAAGCATAGCTGCGTCATGTGACTCCACTAATCAGGTAATAGGAGCAGCTGTGAGTCACAGACAGAGATACTGCAGCGTGTGTGCGAGTAACCACGGCAACGACGCACCTGGGCTCATTAACAAGCTGCTGAAAAGGGAAGAGACAGGACAGCGAGTTACACAGAATCCACACCTCAAACAAGTGTCCTCTAGTGCAAAACTATAACAGCTATCTAAAAAATAAGAAGTTTGTACAAGACCCAAGACTCTACTGAACGCAACCATGTGGTTTTTATGTCTGTCTGGTAATAAATACGGCGCCTGTGGCAGTTTACAAAACGTGTACCTTCTGGATTTTTTGAGAAATTTGTCGGCAGATTTGTATTGGAGCCTATGGGGCTTTTAGCAGAAGTTGTGTGACCCGTTGGTCTCCTGAGGCCAAAACTAAAGAACTCTGGGATTCCATAGCCACATTAATCCAATCAGCACAACCATGCCATCACTTTCACCTAAAATGAAGCCTCAAAAGTGTACACTTTGGCTCTGAGGACAGAAGTTCCATATTTTTTTAAGCAGATGCTGACGCTGCCCCACACTCTAGCCGTTCAGGTCTCACTCTAATACACACTCATGTAAAACTCTGAAACGGAGCGAAGAACTAGTGAAACATAATCAGTGATTATGAAAAAAGTAGAATAGATATCAACAAGCAGTTTTCAAAAAATAGTTGAGACTTGTGTCAACATTTGAAAGTTGAAATGGTGTCTGTAGCTGAAATATTGGCGAAGCTGAAGAATCTGAAAGTTGAAGAAGTTTAAGAGGATTTCAAAAACGATCTCCATTGGAAAACCATGTTAAAATATTAATGATTATTGATTTATATAAATTCAAGCTTAAGAGCTAGAAATCACCCCTCTCCTGAAAGAGCTGAATATTTTAACATTTGAACGGTTTTAATAGTTGAAAGTGTGAAGGAGTTGAAAGGTGCGGTGGAAGAAATAGAATAAAAAGATGTTGGAATAAAGAATAGAAGAACAATACTTGGAATGCGTATTACATTCCAACAATAAAGATTCAAAGAACAGTACTTGGAAAGCTTAATGCATTCCAACAATAACAGGTGTAGTACACCAGGTACAATGCCATGGACCTATGACTTGATTTTGGGAATGCTACCATTCATAATAGTGAAGTTATTGAATATTTCTGTAATGTGTTTTCCCGCAGACCATCCCCTACATTGAGATCAATGTGATTTGTACAGCTCCTGCACTTGTCCGTATTGGTAAAATTATGGATAATTATGTTGTACCTGGTTGTCAACATCACTACTCGCTGACGAGCTATTGAACCGTGAGTCTGAATCTATGAATATCTGCTAACTTTACCGAACTGTGCCAGTTCTCTTAATTTAACGTAACGGTATCGTCTTGATTCAGTAACCCAAATGTACTTATATAAAAATGTCGAACAGTTGTGGGGTCCGTATATATTTAAAATATCTTACTTGCGTTCCCTTGTCGAACTGTCAAAGGCAGCTGACACAGCTTTGTTCACTTGACAGGCTTCTCACTGTAAATTGGGCTTTAAATACTTTAGTGATGTAACTTCACCACGTAATGTTGGCACCTTTGGCCAGTTGTTTTGTATAGTTTATATTTTTAATAATCTGGTTGTTTTCTATATTCACAGACATGTCATTATCTTTTCTTTTGGAGGTTTTGAGAAATTAGAATATCTCATAATGATGACGTCCTTTAGTTTTTAGCGTGCCCCCAATGTAACATTTAATGTTGCCACGTAAATATTTCATACTTCACATGAGCAGATACTCATTTTGTATTAGATTAAATACTGTCTGTAGGTTTTAATGTGGAGAAAATCTGATTTGAATGATTCGCCAATATGCTCAGATTACTGTCCTGACAGAGCAATTTTCTGAGGGAAATTAAATGCATCCCTGTTTTCCGGTGGTGAAATCATTGCACTGTGACGCTAGGGGCTGTTGTTGTTCACAGCTCCAAAACTGGCATCCATTCAATTTAAAACATATCCAGCTATATTTTAAAACCGTCCACAGAGGGCTGCTGTCAGTTTCCATTATTTAATTCCTGCTTGTCAAATACCTGATGGATCATGCCGTGGTTTGAGTACTTGTATGATCCTAATTATGGACGATGCCTCAGTCACTTACTGTGAAACGTAGCTGTTTACCTCTTGTTTATATATCTGCAACCCAGAAGAAAAGACAAATTGTCTATACCCCTAGGATGGCTGAGTTAATAACATGTGAGGATGAGCTTTTCATAATATGCATTTTCCCTGTTTTTGGCTGATAATGAGTCCCCATGTTCTTTTCACACAGGGCACTACAGAAATCCCCTGAATAAGTATATCCGTCACTATGAAGGCCTGTCCTACGACACAGAGCTGGTGCACAGCAACCATCAGCGGGCCAAGAGAGCGATCTTGCATGAAGACAAGTTCCTACATTTAGATTTCCACGCCCATGGAAGGTTTGTCAATTTTATTGTCAATTATCAACATTAACTTCATGGGAAATTCTGATCTCAATATCACTAAGACTAAGAACATAACAGTAGCTTTCAGACTATACGAGCACACAATAAGAGCACTGTGTAGGTGTTCCATGAAACCCCAGATTACATCTTTTATTCCACTGCCATATGTTTCATCTACAAAAAAAGGCAGCATTTTTTTTCAAGATGTCCTAATTTTCTGTTCTTGCTCTTACAAGATAAAACTGCAGTTTCCCAGAACCTTTTATATCTGCCAAACAATACCCCTCCTTCCTCCTTTTTATCCTTTTTCCATTTGCCCTTTTCTTTTTCTCAAACAATGGGGGGAATATTGCTCGTCTACAAATTAATAGTCAAACCGGTTTGACTATTAATTTGTGCGCTGTGTGAAATGAATGATGGTCGTGGAAACAATCCTTTCTCTATATGGATTACACTTTTTTCCCCACTTTCTAATCTTGGTCATCACATACAGGTGCCTATGAATTCATTTGTTTGATTTCAGGCATTTTAATTTACGAATGAAGAGAGATACAACCATGTTTGCCCCTGATTTGAAGATAGAAGTTTCAGGAGGCGAGATTCCATTCGATACCTCTCATATCTACACTGGAGAAATCTACGGTAAGACCGCCCTTCTCATTTTAACACAGCTGTCTAAATGTATCGCTGTGTGAATCACCTCACATCTGTACCCCTGGCATTCGGGTTCCCAGGTGAGAAAGGTACCCTGACCCATGGCTCCATTGTGGAGGGTAAGTTTGAGGGCTTCATCCAGAGCTACCAGGGCGCCTACTACGTGGAGCCTGCCGAGAGATACCTGGAGGGCAAAGACGTGCCCTTCCACTCCGTCATCTACCATGAAGACGACATACGTGAGTGCGCAGCAACTTCAGCGACACAAATGCTCCGACAAGGTGTAATCATCGTGTGTGTGTAATTCGATGCAAGCGCTTGTAAACGTGTGATTGGGGAAGTTTAGAGCACCTGAGACAACGGAGGCAGACTAGTGTGACCGCCCCCCCAGCGAGCAGAAATATTCGTGGTGCTTGATGCCTGAGTAACACGATCTCTGCCCCGCGTTGTGTCTTTCTCTCTCACTCAGACTACCCGCACAAGTACGGCTCAGAGGGAGGCTGCGCTGATCGCTCAGTGTTTGAGAGGATGAAGAAGTACCAAGCCTCAGCAGAGCCATCCAAGGTGAACTTCAGCACACTTAAGGTTGGCGCATGCGTCTGCGTCAGTTGTGTCGACGCACTCGTTTCAATTCATGGTTCTAAAAGTCTTGCGTGTGTCGCAGAGAAGTTCACCTCCAGAACAACAGGTGAAGTAACGTTTTTTGTTCGAAGACGACCTAGAGAGTGACGTCTTTGTGTGTGTAAGTTGTTGGTTGGTTTATTTATCATAGACTTTATTGCCCCGTGCATCCACACTGCTGCTTTTCATCACCTTTTTCCGCGGACACATTTGTCCTGTATTTTCCTCCACAACTGTGCACTCCTCAACTGTTGCGTTTTTTGCTCTGTTTGCGGAGATCTCCCTTTCTCTCCCTGTATAGACATGTGCGTTTTATGTAACTGTCTATTTCCTGCTCTCGTCTCCTCACACCAGGAGCTTCACACCGAGGCGGACTCTAATGACCCCGTGCTGCTGAGGAAAAAGAGGATGGCCCAGGTGGAGAAAAACACCTGCCAGCTTTTCATTCAGACTGACCACCTCTTCTTCAAGTACTACAAGACCAGGGAGGCGGTCATCGCTCAGGTAATACACAGTCCCTGTCACGCAGTACATCTTTTTTTGGGCTCATATCGGTGTATTTGTTTCACCAACAGAACATGTATAAAAGAGTTTAATATATATACATATATATATGTGTGTGTGTATGTATGTATGTGTGTATGTATATATATATATATATATATATATATGTATATGTATATATATATATACATATATATAGTAACTGCATTCACACACTCATTTTTGAATATAATTTCCACTATGAGTGGACAACACTACGTAGAGTACAGTAAAGCACACCTTGTGATTGAAGCTTCTTGTTTTACGACCGTTTCAGATCTCTAGTCATGTCAAGGCCATCGATGCGATCTATCAGGGCACGGACTTCATGGGCATCCGCAACATCAGCTTCATGGTGAAAAGGATCAGGGTAAGTCTTGTACTGATTTGGAGGCCTGTGTGGATTTAAGATTTCTTCCCTCTGAACTGGTCATCGCTGGCATCCTCTAGATAAACACCACCAGCAATGAGAGGGACCGGTCCAACCCGTTCCGCTTTGCCAATATCGGCGTGGAGAAGTTCCTTGAGCTGAACTCCGAGCAGAACCACGACAACTACTGCCTAGCTTACGTTTTCACCGACAGAGACTTCGATGATGGGGTGTTGGGTTTGGCTTGGGTGGGAGCCCCTTCAGGTACTGACAGTCGTCATCAAAATCTAGTTAGTTGCAATAAATACGACTAGGTTGTTACAACTAAAAGGCGCTTCCAATATCAGCTTCCAATATCAGCTCAGACAATATACATATATTGAAAAATCCCAAGGGGTTTCATTATGGATGTATTTACTCTTATCATACTACTTTCTCAATTTGAATTTGTTTAATATGATATTGTACTGTTGAAATCTGTAATTTACTGTCCAAGGTCTTGTGTGCCCCACAATTAGAATTTAGCACCTTTTCTTTTGAAGTCAGACATGATGTCATCAATCATCAGCTGTATAAACAAGATTCTCCCTCTTTCAAAATCAAATCTTCTTTTTTTAAGCTGTTGTTTGCAATACATTTCCAACTTGGGCTTTTATTTTGCAGGGAGCTCTGGAGGCATCTGTGAAAAAAGCAAGCAGTACTCAGACGGCAAAAAGAAGTCTCTGAACACTGGTATAATCACTGTACAGAACTATGCCTCCCACGTACCTCCCAAAGTCTCCCACATCACCTTCGCTCATGAAGTAGGACACAACTTTGGCTCCCCGGTGAGTAACGTGCCACTTTCATGTATTTTGAGAATGAATTCGGCTTGCACACTTTTTACCTTCTCCTTGTAACCTTTTCTTTTCTTTCTCCTTCTCAGCACGACTCTGGATCCGAGTGCACTCCGGGAGAATCCAAGAGCCAAGACAAGAAGGAGAAGGGCAATTATATCATGTATGCGAGAGCCACGTCGGGCGACAAGCTCAACAACAACAAGTTCTCCATCTGTAGCGTGCGCAACATCAGCCAGGTGCTGGAGAAGAAGAGAAGCAACTGTTTCGTCGGTGCGTTTCACTGTTTTCATCTCAAGTGCCCAACTCGGGGATTTGGCTTTTGCTGTAATGACGTGTGGGAGATTTTAACCCCCATGCGCTGTTTGGTTTCAGCTTTTAAAAGCTCCTTCTTTGCATCTGTTCAGTGGTATTTTTACTCACAGTATTTGTCATATTTTTGAATGTGTTATTGGTATTTATTATTATTATTATTATATTATTTGGTATTTTTATTTATCTTTTCTTGTAAGCGTCACGCTTTAAAAGCTCAATCTATATTCAACAAGCAGCTTTGAGTCTCATATCTACATATTCATCTGGGAAAATCTAAGACCAATATATTTTTTACCTTTGCTCAAACATACTGACAAATAGTTTAGTTTTGGTTCAGTGTAGCATTGAGCTCTCTTGAGGGTGAGGACCGAGATTATTGCAGCACCACATGCATGAGACCTTTTTCATAATGCCTGTCTAATTTCTCATACACGTTTAGCCTTTACTACAAGGAAACATATTCCATTTTTTTTTGTTTTTTTGTTTTTCCAGTTTTTTCCATATTCCAAGGACCACACTCAATGTTTTTTTTTCTCCCCAAAACAGAGTCAGGTCAGCCCATCTGTGGTAATGGCCTGGTGGAGCCGGGGGAGGACTGTGACTGTGGCTACAGCGATCAGTGCAGGGACCAGTGCTGCTATGACGCCAACCAGCCTGACAAGAGGAAATGCAAATTAAAACCCAACAAAGTCTGCAGGTAGATTTCATTCCTGTCTTTTTGTCTGCCTGAGCATTTTGAGTTGTTTTTCTTTTACACAACTTAATCCGCGGCAGCTCATTCTGTGATAGTTGTTGAGCAAACGTCTTCTCTCTCCCACCAGTCCCAGCCAGGGTCCTTGCTGCACTCCCGAGTGCTCCTACAAGGGTCGTAACGAGAAGTGCCGAGAGGAGTCCGAGTGCGCTCACCAGGGCATGTGTAACGGAGTCGGTGCCCAGTGCCCCACATCCGAGCCCAAGGCCAACTTCACCGCCTGCCACGGGGAGACTCAAGTCTGCCTCAACGGGGTAAGACCGCAGCAACTTTCTGTTCCCACCAGTCAGCATCTGATCTCCCGCTTCCCCCCCCCCTTCCCCCACCTCTGCAGGGCTGCTCCGGCTCCATCTGCGAGAAGTACGGCCTCGAGGCCTGCACCTGTGCCAGCCAAGATGGGAAGGACGAGACGGAGCTTTGCCACGTGTGCTGCATGGAGAAGAGTGAGTCATTTACCTTCCCGTCCCCCCCTGACCCGAGGGAGAAAAATAATCTATATATAGTGTGCCAGAGATTTCATCTCTTTCAATTGCGTTTGCTGTCTGCGATCCATCTCCGCAGTGAATCCCAACACATGCAGCAGCACAGGATCAGAGCGGCTGGGTCGCTTCTTCAACAAGAAAGTCACCACGCTGCCAGCCGGCTCGCCCTGCAATGACTTCAAGGGCTACTGTGACGTGTTCATGAAGTGCCGCCTGGTGGACGCGGACGGACCGCTCGCCCGGCTGAAGAAGGCCATCTTCAACCCGGAGCTGTATGAAAACATAGCAGAGTGGATCGTGGTATGCATCAGCTTAGTGATTCGGATCGGCTGCTTGGTCGGGATTGTTATCCTGAGGTGTGTTGTGTTTTTGATTTGTGCGTCTTTCCCTCCTCTAGGCCCATTGGTGGGCAGTGCTGCTGATGGGCATTGCCCTCATCATGCTGATGGCTGGCTTCATTAAGATCTGCAGTGTGCACACACCGAGCAGCAACCCCAAACTTCCTCCTCCCAAACCACTTCCAGGTGAGAGATTTACAAAGAAAGTTAACTAAATGTTCTGTTTATATATGTAGCATATCCCTCCCGACATATGGTCTGACGTTTTACTGCTTGATTGTACAATTTATTCATTTAATTACACAAACAACCGTAAGAGATTTGCCTTTCAGGGGGCCGGGGGCCGGGGGTCAGGGGGGGCACTAATACCGTAGCCGTCCGTTAAGTAATCTCCGTTTATCCGTTCCTTTTCATTTCGCGGTCATTTAATAAAAAGAATCAAACTCAATCAGGAATCAGGTATCAGGAAACATTTATTACCAAAATATGCCAAACATACAAAGAATTTGTCTTGGCGGTTGGTGCGCGACAGTAGACAGACAAGACAACAGTGCACAAGTAATAAAATAAAGTAAAATCAAATGCTAATGCAATGGGTTAGTAGAATAAGGCTATGGGTTAGTATAAAACAAGGGAATAAAGTTAACATTTTTAAATATTAAAAAAGTTTTTAAAAAAAATATTAAGCATAAAGTGCACTAACGAACAAGTAACAAAGTGACGAGTGACGACAAAGTGATGAATTACAGTTAAAGTGACGTGTGACGTGTGACGTCAGTCAGTGGGGGACCGGGCTCTGTTGATGAGCCCGACTGCCGATGGGAAGAAACTGTTCGTGTGGCGGGAGGTCTTAGTCCTGATGGACCTCAGCCTCCTGCCACATGGAAGGGGCACAAACAGTTTTTGTCCGGGGTGAGAGGGGTTGGTGTCGGCAGATTGCAGCCGATCACCTTCTCTGCAGAGCGGATGACCCGCTGCAGCCTGCCCTTGTCCTTGGCTGTGGCTGCAGCGTACCAGACGGTGATGGAGGAGCAGAGGATGGACTCGATGATGGCCGTGTAGAAGTGGACCATCATCGTCTTTGGCAGGTTGAGTTTCTTCAGCTGCCTCAGGAAGAACAACCTCTGCTGAGCCTTCTTGGTGATGGAGCTGATGTTCAGCTTCCACTTGAGGTCCTGGGTGATGATGGAGCCCAGGAAACGGAAGGAATCCACAATAGTGACAGGGGAGTCACACAGGGTGATGGGGGAGGGTGGGGCTCTGTTCCGCCGGAAATCCACAACCATCTCCACTGTCTTTAGAGCGTTGAGCTCCAGGTTGTTCTGACTGCACCAGGACACCAGATGGTCAGACTCCCACCTGTAGGCGGACTCATCCCCACCAGAGATCAGTCCAATGAGGGTGGTGTCATCCGCAAACTTCAGGAGCTTGACGGACTGGTGGCTGGAGGTGCAGCTGTTGGTGTACAGGGAGAAGAGCAGAGGGGAGAGAACGCAGCCTTGGGGGGAACCGGTGCTGATGGTCCGAGAGGCTGAGACATGTTTCCCCAGCTTCACGTGCTGCTTCCTGTCAGACAGGAAGTCTGTGATCCACTTGCAGGTGGAGTCGGGCACGTGCAGCTGGGAGAGTTAGGGTTAGTTACAATATATTTATTGCTGAATATGTTGTGCATGGATTTAGATGTTGTAGTACGTGAGTGACCTCAAGTCATGCAGCAATTAACTGGTGACGTTGACTCTACTAGGTTGTAAATGTGTTTTTCATTCGTAGTTGCAGGCTTGTGGTATTTACGGTGTTTGTGTTGTTGTTATTTATTGTTATTAACAGTCGTTTACCAGGTTTTACACCAAAATATGTTTTTCCTCTATATATTTTTTCCATCCATTTTTTTTTTCATCAGTGCAACTCCAATTCCTAGCTTTGGCAGAACTTCTTATAAATGAACAGCCTTTGAGTTTGGGAGTTGAGTAATGTCTTCTTTTATTGGCACATGTTGGCACGTGTTTGGTTAACGTGTCTCAGAGGGACGATGACAAGTGTGAGATAAACTTGTTGAAACCTCAGTTTATCAAATAAAACTGGTGGTGGCGAGTCGCACCGTGAGACGAGGCAGCCGGATAATTAAGAGCTTCAGCAACCAAAAACCATGATGAGAAATTCTGAAGTGAGATATTTAGGATCAAAATACCACTCCTGCTATGCACGATCGCATTTCAATCTCATATGAGGTTTTTCAATTCGAAAGTCAGCACCACGGCTACACTTGTGAGCGGGGCAGAAGAATTGCATTGAAGACGTATGTGCTTGTACCCCCTTTTACTATTTTTTCAGGTGTAATTCTACGATTCACCTTGCTCCAAAATGCCTCTCGCTTGATCTCGACCGGTCTCACACACTGCATACAGTTTTAGACCCATTTCTCACACTTTGAAATGCAACACGGTTGTTATTGCGGCATAGCAATCAGCAGCAGTGCGTCAGCGGGGGCAATTTTGCCCCCGGGAGAAAACCCACAATTTGTTTTCTGACAAGCGTGAGTAACTTCCTTTCACCCCAACAGGCACCTTGAAGAGACGGCGAGCGCAGCAGCATGCCAACTCCCAGGTGCAGAGCCAGTCTCAGCACCCGCACACCGGCCAGAGGCAGCCTCAGCGGCAGGCGCAGCCCCAGAGACACCACCGTCAGCCCAGGGAGAACTATCAGATGGGCCAGATAAGACGCTGAGAACCCCCCATCGCCCCCCACCCACCTGCCCCTCCCCCAATGCCTTGGCTCCTCCTTGTGCCTACAGTGGGAAACAAAAGCGTCACTCCATCCAAAGAAAAGCCTGACATGGTCGTTAGTTGTCATCACATCCTCCATTTACAGACCAAACGGATGTGTGAAAGAGAAAACACTATTTAACAACTCTGTTGGCTCTTCGTGGAGTGGATTCCAATGCGATCTAGCAGCTTTTTACACCGTTTATTCTGTTAAGTAGTGCCAAGGAGTGAAGGATCATGTGTAGCTTTAGTACATTCTGTGATGTGTGTGTTTTTTTTTTGTTCTATTGCAACGTCTTCTTGAGTGACACGCCTGTGGCTGCTGGTGAATTGTTCCGTGATTTTCCTTGCCATTCTAGCCAAGAATGAGAGACACTCGGTGGGGATTCCCGCCGCTTTTGTGATTCACACATGTCAAACGGCAAAAGACACAGGCTGCGGTCTCTCGTGCAGCCCGTCTTCTGCATGTGACTGTACATATTTAGTGTATCATAAGTGAAAACAAACAAACCTAACCCTAACCCTATTTCTTCTACTGTAAATGTGTAATTCTTCACTTTTTTCTTTTATTTTTCGGTTGGTGCTCTCAGGACATAACACTAAATTGAAGGACTGATGAGTTGCGATGAGTTCCTTGAACGCTGCAGTCGAGGATTTGGCGTCAAGTTCTCCTTGCAGTCGGGTGGATCTTTTTCACTTTTGTTAGATTTAGATTTTTTTCACTGTCACCGTATCTCACTTTTCAGGCCTTCTTCGTTCAAGGTCCCTTTTTCCATCTCTTTTTTTAACTGTCTTGATAACCTCCTGTTTTTTTGTACATGGTGTAAAAAGCTAGAGGTCACAGAAACAGAAAGGGAAGACCACCTAGTTTGTTACAGAGTCAAGCCGGATTTATGCTTCTGCGTTTTCAGAGCGACGCAGACGCAAGACCCCCTTGCGTGTCCCTTGTGTCGCTGTTCACACCTCCTTGCGTCCTTGCTTGCGTCGCTTTCGACGCAAGCAACGCAAGCCTCCCGCAGCGCACTAGGCTGCGATTGGTCTGCTAACTACATCCTTTACGGAGTCTCATATTTCCGCTTTCATAGCCCGATACCGCCATTATTAAAACGAAGAATGTTTACGAGAGAACGGATCAGATTTAAGAACTTTTGTCGGAAGAAATGCGTATGCATATGACCGGCGGTGAATTGCTCTGCAACACACGCAGAACCATGAATTGAAACGAGTGCGTCGACGCAACGACGCAGAAGCATGCGCCAGCCTTTACTTTACATGAGTGTGGAAATAAATTTAAAAATGACTCCGGTGTGGCTGTACAAAAATAAATGTATAAAAAGATTAAATCATTCTATTATTTCTCAGGTAGAGGACATAAGAACTTTTCAATGTGGGCATGCAGAACGAGGTCTGTAATGTTTGTATGCCAGACAACGTTCATACATTTCCTCAGTGTGTTCACCTGTATCACAGATATTAGCTGCTGTTTTTACTACACATTTTAAACTCACCTGCAGTTGTCTCCTGGCCAGATTTCATGGCGGAATAAAAACCCCATTTTTTAAAGAAAATCCAGTAGACCCCTGTTATGTTTCCGTTACACAAATAAAGAAAATGTGATGGGGTTTTTTTTTGGAAGTTTGACCTCGGGTGTTTTCTTCTTCCCCTCCCTGCAGAAGAGTACCGACCAAAAGGGTTTGATCATCCTGTTGTGATAAATTGTGCAACATCTCGTGATTTTTATTTTACCCTGCAAACAATTCACCCACCAAACGGTTTCGGGGGTAGGTGGGTGAAATCGGGTTAATTTGAGATTGTACACAAGCTACATTTTGTGACTACATTTTATTCTGGCATTATCTTTTGAACGCATGCAATACTATTCACCGCTGATATCTCGCAACACGCGCCTGATGGCTGTAATCATCACACCTGTGCTCTGGATTATGAACAACGCGTGTCACCGTTACTGGTTTGTTTCACATGGCAGATGAGTATCCATGTCAGCTAACTCTTTGTTTCTGTTTAAAATGGAACTCTCAGAGTTATTTGAGTTCCTATATTTGCTTGTTGAACTGGAGTTTGCTTATGATACTTTTTCCACCGTCATCAATGGTATAAAAACAATTTAGGGTGATGGAATCAATGTTACATCCTTATTTTTCTCATTGTTCCCCTGTGGCATGGTTTGGGTAGAAGAGCAGACGAATAATGCCTGTAAGTTTACTTTCTTTTTAATTTCGTAGTCTTGGTAAAGTTTTAAGATAAAGTTGTACTGAAAATGTCCAGATTGAGTTGCAATGTTGTAGGTGATGTAGGCCGAAAGAACACAGAATTAAAAAGTAATACTACTGTCTGATTTTAATGTTCACTGTGTTTTATACAGTATTGAAATGTTTTGTTCACTTTGAACATTTAAAAAAGAAAAAAATCAAGTTGTATTGTGTAACGAGATGTAATTTTTCGAGTACTTGAAATGCATTAATTAAAAGACTCGTTCAAAATAAAATAGACCCCTGTTTACTGTCTGTAATGCATGCCGTCGTTTTCTAATCCTCTTGTTTAATGTTGGATCACAACTTGTGTTGATAGAGTTAGTGTAGAAAAGAATATGGTCAGTAACACTAAGGATTGGATGAATCGGATTTATTGCATCCTCAAGTTTTTGGTAAATGTTCTTTTGTCCCTTTTAAATTGATGATAAAGTAGTGTGATAATATTAGGTAACACTTTACTTGAATGGGTGTTCATACGACTGACATAACATTGTCAGGAATCAGGAATCAGGAAACATTTATTGCCAAAATATGTCAGACATACAAGGAATTTGTCTTGGCGGTTGGTGCGTGACAGTAGACAGTGTAACAATAGACAACAAGACAGCAGTGCACAAGTAAAAAAATAAAGTAAAATGAAATTCTAATGCAATGGGTTAGTAGAATAAGGCTATGGGTTAGTATAAAACTAGAGAATAAAGTTAGAGTTGAAAATTTAAAATATTTAAAAAGTTAAAAAATATTAAGCATGAAGTGCACTAGCGCACAAGTGACAAAGTGACGAGTGACAAAAAAGTGAAAAATGACAGTTAAAGTGACATGTGCAGTATGAAGGGGCGTGACCAGTGGAATGTTATAGTCAGTCAGTGGGGGACCGGGCTTTGTTGATGAGCCCGACTGCCGACGGGAAGTAACTGTTCGTGTGGCGGGAGGTCGTAGTCTTGATGGACCTCAGCCTCCTGCCAGATGAGAAGAGCAGAGGGGAAACAACGCAGCCTTGGGGGGAACCGGTGCTGATGGTCCGAGAGGCTGAGACATGTTTCCCCAGCTTCACGTGCTGCTTCCTGTCAGACAGGAAGTCTGTGATCCACTTACAGGTGGAGTCGGGCACGTGCAGCTGGGAGAGTTTGTCCTGCAAAGGATCCTAGTCCACAAACACGATCCCAACCATAACCATATAACCATGTCATAACCATGACATGACAGTTGTCATAAATATCAATGAATACTTATGACAGTTGTCGTTAAGTGTCATTCGGTAAGTTATGTCACTTTTGATGCAAAGGTGACATTGTTTGAGATGTCCTTTTTATGACAACTTGACATAAACCAAGACAACAAAACCTGTAAGAAACATGTCATAGCAGACCTAAATGTCAAACTTAAGAAAAACGTTTGGCTTCATATCTTTAGAGCGACATTAAACCGTCATATATGGATGGTTGCTGTAGCCATCTCTTCATAAACATTTCCACCTCACGTTCAGAAGCCCTCAAAGTCAGTGGGTTCTTCCTTACAGCAGCTGATGTGGAAAAAAGTTTCCAAAGACATTAAAGGTAAAATGATCTTATGGATGTCTACAGGGTGAGAAGTTCATGCTATATGAGAAATATGGAGCAGATTAGATAAAGTATGGTTGAGTTAAAACAACTTCAATTTTCATGCCAAATGGTAGTTTTTCAAAAATGCTCCCTACACACATAGTTTGGAATTTCCTCTGGCAAAATGCAATTTTTAAAGCTAAGGTCTTCGAGATCACACTGCGCGAGTTTGAAAAGAATCAGGTTTAATCCCTGGGACGAGTTCGGTCTTTTGCAACTCTAGGAAATCACAAAAATAGGCCAGAAATAGGCCAAAAAGGCAGATTTTCAACGATTAATTGCAGCTTTGTTATTCTTCAAATTTTCTCAAAAATCAGGGTGTGTTCAGGGGTTCAATGTTCACATGTTTTACAAATTTGGTGAGGGCAGGCCAAATAATTTGGAAGTCATGACTCTTGCAAGATTTAGCCACACTCCTTACGAATTCATTAGCGCATATCTTCTCAAAACAAGAAGATATCAACACGATATTAATATGGCGTGGGTACATTGATCCAATAATGATCCACAGAAAACCTGGTGACAATCGGACATAGCGTCCAGGAGAAATGGCCAAAAATGTGTTTTTCACAAAATTCAAAATGGCGGAAAATCTAGTTAGGTGCATTTGCATACCATGTTTGACTTTTTTGTACAGAATGTCCAAGCGCACATGTGTGCCAAATTTCAAGTCGATCGGACAATGGGGGGGGGGGGGGGGGGGGGGGGGGGAATGGCCTAGTGAGGTACTTTTTACCTTTCTAGGGGGCGGTATGGAGACATTTCTTCGTACCCAAATGCGAAACCCACGAAATATCAAGATTTTCACCAGTTCTGATATGCGTGCCAAATTTAACAACTTTTTGAATATGATAAAGGCCTCAAAAAGGTAAAATTCCTTAGAGAAAAAATAATAAGAACGAGCAGCGTTGGAGTCCTCGAAACTCCGCCGGACAAAGCATACAAGAGTAAGTTGTCGTTAACCGCGTGGAGCGACGCGAAATGTCATAGATCACCAAACCTTCCCTTAAATCTCATTCACCAGCCTTATAATCAATTTCAGATGGTATTTAAAATGGAAACGACTAATAGCTACATGATAATTCCAATTCAGGTTCATAGTACACATCCACAAGGTGTCATTCAGGGATAAGCAAGACATTCTGATGTACTATTCCAAAATGAATCCTCTCAAAATACCATACATTATACAAAAGACTACTTTTAGTCAATTTCAGGTCATATTTAAAAGGAAACTATTCATTATTACATGGTCATCTCACTTCAGACTAATAGTATACATCCGCAAGGTATCACCGAGGGATAAGCAGGACATTCTGATGTACTATTCGAAAATTAAATTCAACTTCCTGTTTTCCCCAGGCGGCGCTACGACTAAGGTTAAAAATGATCATAAGGATGTCTACAAGGTGTGAAGTTCATGCTATGTGAGAAATACGGAGCAGATTAGATGAAGTATGGTCGAGTTAAAACAACTTCAATTTTCATGCCGAATGATGGTTTTTTGAAAATGCTCCCTACACACATGGTTTGGAATTTCTTCCAGCAGAATACAATTTTTAGAGGGAAGGTCCTATTCCAAAATGAATCCTCTCAAAATACCATACGTGGGCGAATTTCCTTCAAATTCTCCATTACGAGACTACCTTTGGTCCATTTCAGGTCAGAATTAAAAGGACACTTATAATAGTTACATGGTCATTTCACCTCAGACTAATAGTATACATCCCCAAGGTGTCTCCGAA